GCTTACCAGCTGTGTTCTACATCCATGACAGGTTCCTGGCCACCACTTATTCAACTGTAAGTCCATCCCTGCTATCCAACATCACATGTAAGGTAGTGTTTCCATTTAGGTGGACAACACAGTCGGCAAGAGGGTCCACCTGACCACAGACACGTGGTCCAGCAAGTATGAAAAGGGACGTTATGTATAATTCGTGGCCTGCTGAGTTCTTCTTGCAACCGGGAACAATACATCACATGCACACCATTGCAATCGGTCGTGCTGTCCCATGTCCTTACAGTTGGTGACAGTGACTGCGCAGTTGCCTCCATCCCCACCTCCCCATCAATGCCCTCTTTGGAAGAGTTGGAACCATGAGTACTATGAAAGTGTTCAAGAGACTATATAACAGCTCAGGCAAAATGCTTTCATGAAGTGTTGCAGCTAGTATGCCTAGGGGACAGGAGTCATACGGGGCAGAGATCCTCCATGCCATCTTGTGCCAGGAATGTGTGTCACCAACCCGCTGTTCACCCTTCGGCAGGGAAATTTTACACAGGTGCCATGTCTGGCATGCTTTCTTAACCTAGTGATGCAGTGCTTCCTGGATAGGTAGCCTGGCTTACGGGAAATTCTGAGGCAGGCAATTTGTAGTTATTTCAGTTGGGCTGAGGCAGGCAAGGCATCACTGCTGCCATTTAGTCAAGTGTGTGTCATAACATCTCCCAACAACATGATGATGTGACCTTAACTGCACCCTACATGTTGCGTCTATGGTTAAATGGGGTCTTCTTTTTATCTTACCATCACAGATAACTCACTGTTCTGGAACACTTATCACGTATCCAACACTTTATATTGGATTTGTTATATAATGTATAATACACGTGCCAAACACAAGGCCCGGGGGCCAAATCCAGCCCTCCAGGCCACTTCATATGGCCCTTACACCTCTCTTGCAGCTTCAGCACCCCCATCGTCTCCACCTTCACCTTGTCGCAGCAGAGAGGACAGAACTCTTCCGCCAGACCATGCACCAGCAGAGAGACTCATCTCTGCCCTCCACCACCCCCATCTCAACAGGCAGAAGCAGACAGACCTTGCACTGCGCCATGCAGCAGCAGAGAGAGATCTCTGCCCTCCACCACCCCATCTCAGCAGGCAGAAGCAGACAGGAGGACAGAACTCCTCTACAGAGCCTGCACTTCTCTGCCTTCCCTGGTCTCAGCATTCAGAAGGCTCCACTAGCTGACTCCAGTCCTCCTCCAGACTCTGCACTTTCTGCTTCCCAGCTCCACCCCCCAGCTTCTTCCTGGTTGCAGCACAAGGTAAGGGGGGGTGCACTGTGATGTAAGGGATGGTGGGGGACTCTTGACTACTGATGGTGGGGGACTCTTGACTTCTGATGGTGGGGGGCTCTTGACTTCTGATGGTGGGAGACTCTTGACGTGGGGGACTCTTGACTTCTGATGGTGGGGGGGCTCTTGACTGCTGATGTTATTGAGAAATGGGGTGCCCTGGATATCTAGTCTTACAGATACAGCTGGTCCTTTGAGGGCAACCATAATGCTTGAGTTTGACACTCTTGATATAACATCCTTTTGTTGGCACCTAGTAGCATCCAGTGTAACTACAATTTGTTACTGTATTTTTGATGTGGTACAGTCCTACGTAGGAGTCTAGGTTAGTTGGTTTAAATCCATAGATCCCCATCCCTTCTTCTCCATGTTCCCTCAGTTAGTTTACAGTGTTTGTATTGGCACTTTGATTTGACTGGTGAACATCCCATGTATTGCATTTTAACCAGTAAAACTACGTTGGACTAAACTGCCAAGTCTTATTGGAGAGTTGAGCTGTCTGTTGAGGGTGCATATTTGGCAGGTAACCCTACTGGCCGGATGGACTGAGGTCTAAAGGAGATATGTCAATGCATAAAGTAAGGCTTCAAACAGAAAACTCATGCCATCACTGCCGTTTAACACACCCTATATCCCCATCAATAAAAGTTGGGCATACACCAGTTAAGCCTGTTATCCCCATTTTAAACCATGATGCTAGACAATTTCACACTAGCGTAATCTTTGTTGTGTTTTTTTTTTATTCTGGAATTAATAATAGGCAAATGAAAACTGTCAGTATGACTTAACAGAACAAGATGGAAAATTGTACACCTGTTTTTAAAATGTTCACAAAACAAAATGCCTAGGCACGTAGAGCTGCACAGATCTTTTTTTTTTCGTTCCTTTTCTATACCAAAAAGGTGATCTTGCCACAAGTAACTGGTTTGAGCAAAGTCATCTGCTGCATTCTCATCAAATTCTTCATCTTAGTCAGGCAAGGCAGTAATGTCTGCTTTGGTAATCGGAAAATAGTCATGAGTTTTCTTCAGCTTGGCCTCCACGGGATTGCCACAACAATGTAAGCAGGATAAAAGATCTTTTGCAGATGATCAACAGTAGTTGTAAGTCCTGAATGTAGTCTGATCTCACCATCTGTTCATCCACAAACAATATTTAGCTCCTCTATCACCACAATAGCTTTCTTTGTAGCTCCTGCTAAAGATAGGGGGAGATCAGACTACACCACTAAAGGGACTCAAATAGCAGTGACCCCTCCTCCTTCTCTCTCACCATGATGTCCTCCACATAGAAGCTTCTGCTGAAGGTCAGAGGAGATCAGACTACACTGCTAGAGGGACCCAACCAACAGTGACTCCCCCCCCCCTCCTTCTCTCTCACCATGATGTCCTCCATGGAAGCTTCTGCTGAAGGTCAGGGAAGATCAGACTCTGCACTGCTAGAGGGACCAAACTAGAAGTGACCCCCCCTCCTTCTCTCTCACCATTATATCCTCCATGGAAGCTTCTCTGAAGGTCAGGGGAGATCAGACTACACTGCTAGAGGGACCCAACCAGTAGTGACCCCCCCCCCCCTTCTCTCTCCTATCAGAGGAAGCTAGATAGAACTTTGAAGATAGTCTCCTTCCTTCTTCTCCATGTTCCCTCAGTTTCCAGCCTTCATACTGATGTGATGATCATTGTCTTTAAACTGTGATATGACTGGTGAACATCCCATGTATTGCATTTTAACCAGTAAAACTAAATTGGATTAATCTGCCGTGTCTTCTTGGAGAGTGGAGATGTCTGTAGATTTATTCAGCAGCATGCTGGCCGGATGCACCAAGATCTAAAGGAGGTATGTCAATGCATATAGTGGTGCTTGAAATAGAACATTCACAACATCCCTGTCTTTTAACACACCCCCTATCCCCCCAGATAAAATAAAAGTTGGGCATACACCAGTTAGGCCTGTTATCCCTGATTCCCACAACAGAGTAAGCTGGATAAAAGAACTTTTGCGGAAGATCGTCATGTAGTCTGATCCCCACTTCTCTTCATCAGCAATATCTAGCTCCTCTCTCACCATGATGTCCATCATGGAAGCTTCTGCTGAAGGTCAGGGGAGATCAGACTCCTCTGCTAGAGGGACCCAACCAGCAGTGCCCCCTCCCCCTCCTTCTCTCTCACCATGATGTCCTCCATGGAAGCTTCTGCTGATGGTCAGGATAGATCAGACTACACTGCTAGAGGGACCCAACCAGCAGTGACCCCCCCCTCTTCTCTCTCACCATGATGTCCTCCATGAAAGCTTCTGCTGAAGGTCAGGGGAGATCAGACTACACTGCTAGAGGGACCCAACCAGCAGTGACCCCCCCACTCCTTCTCTCTTACCATGATGTCCTCTATGAAAGCTTCTGCTGAAGGTCAGGGGAGATCAGACTACACTGCTAGAGGAACCCAACCATCCGTGACCCCCCCCCCCCTCCTTCCTCTCTCTCACCATGAAGTCCTCCATGGAAGCTCCTGCTGAAGGTCATTGGAGATCAGACTACACTGCTATAGGGACCCAACCAGCAGTGACCCCCCCTTCTCTCTCACCATGATGTCCTCCAAGGAAGCTTCTGCTGAAGGTCAGACTACACTGCTAGAGGGACCCAACCAGCAGTGACACCCCCCCCCCCCCCTCCACTTTATCTCACACCATGATGTCCTCCATGGAAGCTTCTGCTGAAGGTCAGGGGAGATCAGACTAGCAGAGGAAGCCAGACACAACTTTGAAGTCTTTATTGTCAGGGATCGGTGGACATCACCCCTACCAAGAACAACACACTCCTTGCTTTGGAAGTTAAAACTTTATTTCATACGTGAGAACAATGAAACATGTCTATCCTGAGGAGTTCTCCTCTGTGAATGAGCCTCCATAGATCTTTGTCAAATGGATTCTAAAATGGCAAAAAGTCTTTCATATAAACGAGGATTTAAAAAACAAACATTGCATCGCCTATTCTAATTATCATTCCCTATTATAAAAAAAAAAAACAAAAAACGATAAGATCCATATCACTAACGAAGATGTTAAAAAAAAAAAAGGGCTACCTAGGGTCATAATTAGGGGGTCGGGATTGCTGGGTCAGTGTGCTTGGACCAATCACATGCCCAGAGCCCTGGGCTTGTGATGCTTAGAGAGCATGGGGCAACTCGCCTAGTAGGGCCATAGAAGGTGAGAAAGGCAGAACCCGAGTGGTGTGCCGCTGGAAGCCCATGAGATCAGAGGGCGCTGTTCCTGTGGGGGCCTGCTCTGTTGCCCAGCAGCTGATGGACAAGCTGGGGACTAGACAGGAGCGGAGCAGCAGGTTGCCAGGAAAGGCAGGAGGCTGAGAGACGATCCCAGCAGTGTGCTTCTTCCCGGCTTCTTCTATGTACAGCAAAATATGGTTCCTACAGCACATAATATCTACACCACATAATTCGTTTGGGTTCTCCGATATTCGGTAGGCCAAGACTTCAATGGGAAACATTTCCCGCATTCAAAGAAGGAAAAGAACATTAGTATCACTGCTTCTCTTGAGTGGGATCCTTCAAGGTCTGATTTCCACGTTAAACATTTTCCGCATCCTGGCCGGACGGCTGGCTTGCCATGTGCGATCTCTGGTGTCTGTAAAGACAGGACTTCTCTGAAAACGATTTTCTGCACTCATGGCAGGAATACGGCTTCTCACCCGTGTGTGATCTCTGATGTCTAGAAAGATGGGCCTTCTGTGAAAAACATTTCCCACACTCAGGGCATGGATAAGGCTTCTCACCTGTGTGCGATCTCTGATGTCTGAAAAGGTGGGCTTTCTGCGAAAAACATTTCCCGCACTCACGGCAGGAATACATCCTCTCGCCCGTGTGCAATATCACATGTTTGGAAAGAGTGGATTTCTGTGAAAAACTTTTCCCGCACTCAGGACAGGAGTAAGGCTTCTCCCCCGTGTGAGATCTCTGATGTATAAGGAGGTCTGATTTCTGTGGGTAACATTTCCCGCACTCAGCACAGGCATATGGCTTCTCACCTGTGTGCAATCTCTGATGTTTAGAAAGACTGGATTTCTGTAAAAAACATTTCCCGCACTCAGGGCAGCCATACAACTTCTTGCCTGTGTGCAATCTCTGGTGTTTGAGAAGGTGGGACCTCTGTGAAAACAATTTCCCGCACTCAGAACAGGAATACGGATTCGTCTCCTTGTGAAATCTGTAATGTGCAACTAGTTCTGATTTTTTAAGAAAACATTTCCCGCACTCAGAACAGGAATGAAGCACCTCTCCCGTGTGAGATCTCTGATGTTGAGTTAGATCTAATTCAGAACAAAAACTTTCATCACATTCAGGACAGGAAAATTCCTCCTCTCCCTGAATCCCGGCCCCATCCCCCACAATACAAGTTTGCTCAGAGTCCGAGGGACTCCATGGTCCATCCACACTGGGAAGTCCACCATCCATAGTGGAGCTCATTGTCTTTTCTCCGGCACAATCTCCTGGGATGTCCTCATCTTCCATTTTACAACCTGGAGATAAAGTGAGACGATCCTTTGAGGGTTTCTCCATGGCGGGTCCTGGAAAAATAGAAAAACATCATCAATATATGGAAGTGAACTAACCCTCTCCTATCTAGATTCCATCTGGATCAGGGAGATAGGAGGGAGCAGATGTTCTCTGTGGATGTCCCAACCAGCTGGGACTCCTCCCCTCTTCAGTCAAAGGGCCTTTGGTCCTCTCAGATCACTTCTACATTTACACCTCCTTGTCAGAGGAGCAGGAACCAATGGGGGCTGGGGGGGGGGGGGGGGGTAACAGAGCAGAGAAAAGAGAAGAATATATTCTGGTCACCTGTGCTGATCTCTGTAGGAGTGTCCTCCTCTATGAATGTCCTACTCATTCCAGCCTCCTCCGTATATTGCTGATCATCCCTCACATACGTCTCTTCTACTTCACCCTCAACTTTCATGTTCATCAGATCTTCACCCTAAAGCAACAGAATGGCAGAAAATAACATCTGTAACATAGAAGGATTTATGATGTGAGATCACATAGAACATCTCATCTTGTAGAGTCCACACATCGTCTCCACAGAGTGTTCCATCACTTTATGTTCCCGACCCTCAGCTCCACGTACCTGCTGATGGTGAGGGATGGTGTGACCTTCCTGTGTGGAATCCCGGGAATACAGAGGACGGGGACATCTCCTTGGCGCGTTCCTGGTATTAGGTTCATCCATCATAATGTCCTTGTAGGAATCCTTGTGTCCCACAGAAAGGATCATCACCCCATACTCCTCATCATCCTCTTCAAACTCTTCTTTAACAACTATATTATAATCCCCGAGGTTTCCACTCTGAATATAAAATAAGAAAATCATTGGAACAGATAAGCTTGTGTACAAATCCCAACTACCAGTGATTGTTCCTCATCTACCTGATGATGGTGAGGGATGGTGTGACCTCTCTGTGTGGAATCCCGGGAATACAGAGGACGGGGACATCTCTCTGGTGGGCTCCCATTACTGGATCCATCTGTAGGAAACACACACTGACTGTTTATCAGATGATGGGGGATCTAGGTGGAGCCTCCGTACTACTCTCTCCTTTCCAATAAAGTCTCCTCTTACCCGGTGATGTGAAGATATGGAACTTTTCTGTCTTCATATCCTCAAAGATGTCCTTACTGTCTTCTAAATACCCCCAATCCTATATCAAGAAATAGACAGTGACACCCTGACAACTTATAGGAACCTGACACACACAATGATACAGTCACCATCCAGACACATCCCTTGTCTGTTCCTGGAGAATGTCCCAGAATTCCCGGCACCGCTCACCTCTCCTGTCAGCAGCTCCATCATCTTCTTAGTGACTTCTAGAATCTTCTGCATGTTGTGTCTCTCAGGGTTTAGGGAGTCACATGGAGGCACTGTGATGGTCATAGGGTCACCAGGCTTCACACGAGGACATCTCTGTCATAAAACAGTAATATCATATGATATTCCCAGAATCCTCTTCACCTCTCCAGTCAGGTCTGTGTGATGTCATGTGACCTCCCAGAATCCTCCTCACCTCTCCGGTCAGGTTTGTGTTTTATTAATAGAGATGAGAGTGATGTCATGTGACCTCACAGAATCCTCCTCACCTCTCCAGTCAGGTCTGTGTTTTATTAATAGAGATGAGAGTGATGTCATGTGACCTCCCAGAATCCCCCTCACCTCTCCGGGCAGGTCCGTGTTTTATTAATAGAGATGAGAGTGATGTCATGTGACCTCCCAGAATCCTCCTCACCTCTCCGGTCAGGTCGTGTTTTATTAATAGAGATGAGAGTGATGTCATGTGACCTCTCAGAATCCTCCTCACCTCTCCGGTCAGCAGGTAGATGATCTCCAGGGTGAAGTTTAGTATCCTCTCAGTCATGTGACTCTGGTCCTCCTCCATCCTCATTGGTCATGTGCTCTATACAGGTTTTCTGTAGACCAATAATTGATAACAGAGAATGATCTGGACTGTACTGGTTGTACAATATTAGGATGGGGGTGTATGGGGGGATAATATGAGGGTCTCTATGTAAGAAGGGTCCTAAGCAGGATTATACTCAGGAGTACATGCAGTTTAGTGTTTGCCATGTTTTTGGGGTCCGGGGGGCCTTTTACCTTTGGCCTGCTAGTACTGGTGTTCCTCACCACCATCTGTTCCACCATCAGTGGTGGCTGGGCTGGAGATACAAGAGAGGCCAACCTCGTCATTTCAGTCTCCTATCAGGTACGTGACACTAACCCTTCAGTACAGACTCAATCCGGACAAAAATTTAATTTTCTGAGATTTTAATGTATAGGATTCTTTGAATGGACATAGGAACAAATGGCAGGAAATCCCAAAGAAAGTTTAAAAAAAAAAACAAAATTGCCAAATGCATTTGTTTCTTTCAGATGATGTCATGTGACGCGATAGTGGTTTGGGCCCTCGGGGGGAAATTACTTTTTTAATTCTTTCCAGTTTTTGGGACTTGGATAACAAATGGATCTGAATTTCGTCCAGGCAGCTCTTGCCATATCTCTTGTTGGGTTGGACTAGCATCCGAAAATATTGAATCCCTCCGAACAGTTTCGACAATATATCAAATATGTAGCGATCTTCTGAAAAACTGCAACATTTTTCAAATCTGCCCAGACCAACGAATATATGAAACAAACTAAACAAATTCTAAAAATGAATCAGTTCAAGATAATGAATATGATGAAACTAAATTATTCAATGAATGAATCCATCCGAAACAAAAATTTATGGTGTACACATGTCTAGTACAGACCTCCCTCTCCCAGCCAAAAATCTCTATACAGAATCCCCCCTCCCAGCCTATCCCCTCAGTAGATAAACCCTTTTCCAGCCAAATCCCTCAGTACAGACACCTCCCCACTCCAGACCCCTTCCCATTCAAGCCCCTCCAGTACAGACCTCCCTCTCCCAGTCAAAAATCTCCATACAGAATCCCCCCCTTCCGGACTATCCCCTCAGTAGATACCCCCTTTTCCAGCCAAATCCCTCAGTACAGACAGCTCCCCACTCCAGATCCCTTCCCACTCAAGCCCGCCCAGTACAGACCTCAATCTCCCAGCCAAAAATCTCCATACAGAATCCCCCCTCCCATCCTATCCCCTCAGTAGATACCCCCCTTTCCAGCCAAATCCCTCAGTACAGGCAGCTCCCCACTCCAGACCCCTTCCCACTCAAGCCCCCCCAGTACAGACCTCCCTCTCCCAGCCAAAAATCTCCATACAGAATCCCCCCCTTCCAGCCTATCCCCTCAGTAGATACCCCCTTTTTCAGCCAAATCCATCAGTACAGACACCACTCCAGACCGCTTCCCACTCAAGCCCCCCCAGTACAGACCTCCCTCTCGCAGCCAAAAATCTCCATACAGAATCCCCCCTTCCAGTCTACCCCCTCAGTAGATACCCCCTTTTCCAGCCAAATCCCTCAGTACGGACACCTCTCCACTCAAGCCCCCCCAAGTACAGACCTCCCTCTCCCAGCCAAAAATCTCCATACAGAATCCCCCCTGCTGGCCAATCCCCTCAGTAGATACCCCCTTTTCCAGCCAAATCCCTCAGTACAGACACCTCCTTACTCCAGACCCCTTCCCACTCAAGCCCTCCCCCCCCAGTACAGACCTCCCTCTCCCAGCCAAAAATCTCCATACAGAATCCCCCCTTCCAGTCTACCCCCTCAGTAGATACCCCCTTTTCCAGCCAAATCCCTCAGCACAGACACCTTCCCACGCAAGCCCCCCAGTACAGACCTCCCTCTCCCAGCCAAAAATCTCCATACAGAATCCCCCTTCCAGCCTATCCCCTCAGTAGATACCCCCTTTTCCAGCCAAATCCCTCAGTACAGACACCTCCCCACTCAAGCCCCCCCCCCAGTACAGACCTCCCTCTGCCAGCCAAAAATCTCCATAGAGAATCCCCCTGCCGGCCCATCCCCGCAGTAGATACCCCCTTTTCCAGCCAAATCCCCCAGTACAGACTTCCCACCTCCCCACTCCAGACCCCCCAGTACAGACTTCCCTTTACAGCAGATCTCCTTACCGATCAGCAGCAGTTCAGAGCGAGGGAAGTCCTCCACCTTGGCTGGGTCATGTGACAGGAGCTGAGGAGCAGCTTCCCCTTGAATCAGAACTGCTCCGATCAGACAAAGTGGTGCTGCAATGCCTACAATACTCACACTACAGAGCCGTTTCTGCCTCTCCGACAGCAAAAGCAAAAAAGAAAGATGTCAGGCGGGTGGAGTGTCGCTCCTGGTGAGGACCACAAGCTCCTGTGCCCCACTACGTACGCCACTGCCTCTCGGATCAGAAATTTCTCTATTTTATTTGTAAAGTCTGTTTGGTCTTGAGATTTATTTTTTCTTATTGCATATTTTTAATCACCCCCGCAAAGAAAACTGAAGACGATTCTCTTTGCACCCATATAAACCCCCCAAAAAGTCATATAATATGTTAGGTGAGAAGGTGGCACATCTCCAAAATGTTCCGGCCCTGTAAGT